TGGAGAGACATTGGAAATTTTCATGTTCCGGTAATAAATACTGTGGTGTAAATTACGATGAATATTTGAAAATCAAGTAAAAATCCAATTCTGCATATAATTTTGACGATATGTATGCATTACATCGATATAAATTGTGGATGCAAAATGCTATCAGAAAAATTGAACATGCAAGAGAAGTCAGTAGAAAGATCCAGGTATGTATTACTATACAACGGAAATTTATTGAATGGTATTACCACCTCTCTGGCCTATGTGCTTCACTATTAGCTGAACATTATAAATTATTATGGGCAGTTCGAGAAGAGATGCGTCAAATTAATAATGTATAATCCATATATCTATTTATTTGATTTAATTTATTTATTCGATTTATTAATGTATAACTTATTCATATATATCTATTTATTTCGTTATCTTTGAGGGCTGATAACATTTTTTTTTATTGATTTTTATATGTATTTATATTATTATTATCCAGCTTTAATAAAGTAATTTTATTTCGTATTTCGTAATTGAGTACGACTATGATTTTCATGCATGTGATATAAACTCCAAAAAAGGTATTTCATTCAATCAGTTTATCGCAATGTGATCATATCAATGACTAATTGACACGCAATAAAATTTTCGTTCCATATTTAAATTTATAAAAATGTCTTTGACCGAACATTACCTTGGCTACTCTGGTAAGTTCATAGACTTTAACTTGGGATCCGAATATTATTCACTGACCTTTTAGCCCTTTTCTCTTACTCTATAGCTCTTCTCTCTTATCTCAATGAACGCAAACATGTAAACTGGTCGTACTACAAATTTTTGACTCTTAACCGTGATATTATTATATCTTTGTTATTGAATACAGTAGATTGGAATGGCTTAGATGGTGCATGGACATATAGGTTTCTAAAAGAAACAGAAACTAGGCTTGAATCAAAAGACTATGAAACTTTAAAGGTCAAGGTATTATCTTATTTTTTTAAGGGAGCTCCTATCAGTTCACGTGCTGAATCAGGAGTATCAGTTCACGTGCTGACCCAAGTGATGGTAGTAATGGCACCTCTGGTCAGTTCACGTGCTGATTCAAGAGTATCAGTTTACGCGCTAAGCCTTACCATTGCGAATCTGTATTTTTTTTATTTGAAATTTATATTAGTATCAACTGGCATTAGTCATTTTATGATTAACTTTTTATTATTACCAATTTATATTTCATTATATAATAGGTTGATTTCGAACGTTCAAAACATGGATTGAAGACCTATTGGGAAAACGTTATCCATGAACAGAAAAAAGTATGTCAGGCCTTATGTATCATTGTTTTTGCCTTATTAATCTTACTAAGATTCTTTGTTTGATAAAGAAAATGATATTGATTTTAAAATTAATAACAAAAATATCTAATTCTTTTCAAGAATTTCTACTGTAATCTGTAATTGGTCGAAAGTTTGGAAATTTTTATTAATTTTTAAATCAACAAATTCAAATTATTATTGCTATTTTTGCCTAACATATAAAAATAGTTTAGTAAGTACATCAGGAAATTTTTTCTAGTAAAAACCTTTGAAAGTTAATGTTAATATAAGTATTTTACTATTTTTTGATATGTTATCCTTTGAAGGTCTTCATTAATCTTTGAAAATTATCAATTTTGATATTTTCACATGATGAAATTTTGTGAATATTATTATTTTTATAGTAAATTCATATAAATAACCTTCAAAAATTTATTGATTTAATATTTTTATGTATGAAATTTTACAAATATTATTGTTTTTGTAGTAAATTCGTATTAATAATTTTTGAAGGTTACCAATTTTGATATTTTCATGCATGAAATTTTGCAATTATTATTATTTTTGTAATAATTTCATATCAATAATCTTTGTTTATATTAGATATTCATAATATATTATTTTAATGGTCATCACTTGCATCTATATCGCTGTAATTTTCAATTGACATTGTACTGTCAACGATATCTTTCAAAATTTATCACAGCAATTTTAATTGACATTGTATTATTAACAATATCTTTCGAAGTTTATTGTAGTAATTTTAATCAACATTACACTGTCAATGATATCCTTTGAAGTTTATTATATCGTTGATTATCATTTCAATTTTTTTTTGAAGGTTAATATTTTTTTTGTTTGTACAACAAGATCAGTTATCTTATATGACTTATTATTTAACTATATATTCTTTTGTTTATTTTCAGAATAACTACTTTTACTCTTTCTAAACAATTCATACAAAACTTTTTAAAAGAAATAAATTTATATCTTCGTATTTTTATTATTGTTATATCAAAATATACCAGATAAAAAACAATAATTTAAAATGTATTTAATAATATTTATTAGTTTATATCAACTTTATTTTATAATTTAATAAGTAAATAAATATATTTTATACTTTGTTTACTTTCAGGAATATCTCATAACTTTAATATATACTTATAAAACACTTCAAAATGGTATATTTATATCTTCCTATAATTTATTCTGTTGTTATTATACATATTCCCAAATTAATTTTAGATTTTTGAGGTATTTCAACTTTTTGAGATTTATATAGAATCTATTCTATATATGAAAGTAAAGAAAGTATCCAGTTATATATATCTTTAATCAAAGAATAAATCTGAATAGTCAAAAAATTTTGAATTTTAAGTAAAATAATTTTTTCTTATATAAAAAACTATTTCAACTTTTTTTTTCGAAATTGTAATTTCGGGACCTTAAAATAATTTTGTGTTCAAGTATAGTTATTATATCAAGTACATTAATTTTATAATACTATTACTTGACCTATGTGATTTTATTTTGTAATATAAAAATATTAATAATATATATATCAATACCCTATAAGAAATATATATATTTAAAAAATACTTAAAATATAATTAAAATATTATTGAAATATTATTAGAATATATTTAAAATATATTTAAAA